TTTTTTTTTTTTTTTTTTTTTTTTTTTTTAAGACTCGTTCTATAGCTCAATAAATCAGCTCTGTGGAGCACAGAGCTTAGTCGAGAAAAATAATAGCGTGCAACTGGAAGAGCCGAAGAGCAACCATTACCGCCCAAAATACCAGCACTACCGGAAAAGTCATCTTGATATTTCAATCTTTCCGTGTTGAGGGACTAGAAGCCGCAAGAACGACTACATCGCGACCACCGCCTCGCCAGACTAAACAGAAAGCGGGCACCTGCGGAGTGAACCAGTTGCAAACCTACCGGGGGAGGGGGGCCCAAGTCGCCTCACCCCGCTCCGGCTGACCTGCTCCCCTGAGCCTTTTTTCGCGACCACTTCCATCCCTTCCCACCCATCTGCATCTAACAGAAAGCAAGGTCGGGGGAGGGAGAAGATGGTGCCTTGAGGAAAAGCCTCCCCGTAACCCGCCGCAGCCTTTCTGCTTCCTCCCCTTTCAGATGCAAAGCCACACCGCCTCTCCTAAGCCTCGTGCCTCTACTGCAGGGTCTGCAAAACTTAAAAATATTTTTAATTGTTTTAAAGCGTAAGTAACTTCCCCGCTCCCTTCCGCCCCTCACCTTCACGAAAGCAATCGGGGTTGTGGTACCTTCGATATCTAACAGGATCACAGTGACTTCGGCGGGCACCGAAAGCACGACCATTTCCCTACCGGATGCTACCACCGGAATCGGCCTACTGGTAGGAAGGGCGGAGCGCGGCGCTGGCTTCGCCCCAGGTACTGTCCTGGCTTCCGACGGCCTCGCAAGCAATCACGAGCCGGCGGCCGCGCAAGCCTGCAGCGCGTGGGGGACACACCACCTCCGCGCACCTGGAAGTGGAGAAAGTGGCCACCAAGGAACCCTAAACTCTTTCATTTAACATTTATAGTCCAAGTGTTATTTTACAGATGAGAAAACTGAGGCCAAATTTACAAATCTGAAGGTGGGAACCAGAATATTTAGCCTGCCACAAACGGCTTTGGAACCTCAGAAAAAGCTGTTAAAGGATTCTGCATCTTGGTGTCCCTTGTGAAACAAATAGAATAGGAAATATTTTCCTTACTATTGAGGTCACTTGCTGTTAATTTAAAAATATAGTAAAATAAATGTTTTCTAAAGTACCTTCAGGCCTATGCCCGTGATGTTTATGTATACCAGGAAAGGAAGGCGGAAAAAAACATGGAATTAATCAGACAAGTGGCATGGCCTGTGGTTGTCCTTGGGGGCTTTTTCTGAGCCCAGAGAAGGAACATATGTTCTTTATCTGCTCAGGAATGAAAGCTGGTTACACGCTGACGCCCACACTGATGTCTAGGAAACACATTTTTCTTTCAGAGTTTGTTAAAACTATAGGTTTAAAGAAAGCTCCTTGAAGGCAGGAACTGTGTCTTGTATAAAAAACTAAGTTACCTAGAAAGGGGAATACTTTATTCCCAGACTCTTCCTATAGGAGGGTCTCTCCACCTGGCCCATCTGTAACCCCCACATGGAAGACTTACTTCCCATGAGCTGGTTTCAAGTGTCTATTATGGTGCCTGTCCCAGCAGATGGAGCAGGGAAAACTAGGTCCAAGTCCATTTGTGCAGCTGTTGACTGGAGAGCCCATGGGCTTTGACACGAATTTCCAAAAGCCATATCTGAATCCTGATGGGAAATGAAAGAAAGCCTGGAACCACCCCGTAGTGCCAGGTACACACACACACCTTGAAGAGAGAAGTGCTTTCTGATTGGAATCCAAATCTACTCAGAGCCTGCAGACACCAGGGGCTCCTCATATGTCCCCACCCAGAGGTGTGCACTGTTAAATAAGCAGAACACACAGCCCACCCTCAAGGTGCTCAGAATATCACACGGGTCTCACTCCTTCTCTCTTCCTGTTTCAGACCTTACAGGTGATCTACCCCTACACCCCACAGAATGACGATGAGCTGGAGCTGGTCCCTGGGGACTTCATCTTCATGTCTCCCATGGAGCAGACCAGCACCAGCGAGGGCTGGATCTACGGCACATCCTTAACCACCGGCTGTTCTGGACTCCTGCCTGAGAATTACATTACCAAGGCTGATGAATGCAGCACCTGGATCTTTCATGGGTAAGCAACTCAAAGACCTTTGCCTGCTGCTTTTAAAGAATATTGCTACAGCAGACTTTGAGGAGGTAGTGGGGACGTGGACTTGATCCTGGACACACTGGGCAGCAGCAACAGTAAATGGAGAAGAAGGCTGTATTGGTTCCAGACATCCAGGGAAAGAGCTGACTGGGGCATGGGAAACATCACTCTGCCTGCCTCATTTGATGTAGCTGTTTGCCTGAGTTCCTGACCAGAGATGAAACCAAAGCTGCCTGGGGTCCATCTCTTCTGCCTGAGGGTGGTGCCATCCCAATGTTGAGTCTTCACCACTTTAGAGCTTCAGTCCCCCTGGTCCTGGGTCATTACTCAGGGTGGTCTGACTCCCCAGGGCAGCTGGGCAGATTCCTACTATGCCAGCCAGACGAACACTGAAAGCAGTTTCAAAGGCCGGGGCCCTAACTGTACCCCTCACTTGCTAGATGACCCTGAGCAAGTCCCCAGACTTGGCACACTCGTGCCTAGACAAGAGAGATTATGTCTAAGGTAACGGGTGACTGCCAAATCGAAAAGGGGCACGTTGTCCCCCAGTCTTCGTTCCACCCACCCCTCACTACTGCTTCTCCAAACCCATGTTCAGAGTGGCCTATGTCGCATGGCCAGCTTTGTCCCTATGGAGAAAATAGCAACAAAGGCTATTGTTCTTATCTGAGCAGCTCAGAGCCAGTCCTTCCCTGGCACACTCGGGCATCTCGCCAGCATGTGCCTGCTGGTTTGTTTTTCCTCCCTCTTGTTTTTGCCATGTGGCAACATAGCTGAGAGGCGGGAGCGGCGAGCGCCAGCTGCATGGTGGCTAACATTGTTATTACCGCCGGCAAAGAAAAGCCCAGAGGGGCGATTTCGGCGAGTGTTTTGCCTGAGGGAGAAAAGAAAAGAAGGTCCCCGACCCTCGTGAGCAACAAGCAGACAAACCACAAACCCAAAGAAGGGAAAGAACATTTTCCTCCTGCATCGCCCCCCAGCCTTCCTTCCTCTCCCTTCCATTCCACCCCTTACCCCACCCCACGAGCATTGGCATTTAGTGGCACAAATTAGAGGATCAAAGCTGCCTCATGTTCCCCAGACAGTTGCTGTTTCCGAAACGTTTCTGAAGATCAAAATACATAAGTTAGGTTTCCAAAGTCACCATTTTATCCCTATAAAAACAGGAAAAGCAAAACATACCTGAGTAAGCTGAGAACTAGAAGATTATTTGCCTGATGAAGCCCCGCACCCAGATCTTTCTTAGAAGTCGGGCTCCACGTGGGGAAGAGTGCGTGTGAGAAGCCCTGCTGCCCCGTTTCCCAGCCTCCCCACAGAGCCTGCTCTTCCCTAAACGAGAGCTCAGGCTGAGGGATGGTGAACCTAAGTGACTATCAGGGATCACAGGGAGGTCTACGTGTCATCTCCTTTTATTGTGAGAGATTACTACTGGTTTTATTTCCCTGGGAACCATGTCTGAAATTAAACTATCAGCTTCCACAGCCAACCCTGCTGAGAGTGGGGGAACACTAACGTTAGACATTAGGACATTGTGGGGCCGGCCCGGTGGCGCACTGCTACAGTGCGCCACTTGGGAAGCGCGGCGGCGCTCCC